TTCAATGATAGGCAAGCATCAACTATGGTAGAACAACTCTGAGGCATTGTATCATAAACTGCTACAAACTAATGTTGTTAGTAAAATTTGATGGTGTGATGCTAACACAGTATAATAAAGCAAGATATTTTTTTCCCCTACAGTACACTGTCTCCAAACTTTGGGAATACCCATTGCATCTTCAAGAGGGAGATGTTTTTGCAAGCTCTGCTTTGACCTTGGACAAAAACAATTATTTCATATGCTGTTGAAAGATAGGAGGGATGAAAACAAACACCCATTGGCTGGTTTGTGTTGATTAATGGAAGTTCCACTGTTTTGAATGGGTCTGCTCTATGCATGACTAAATCTAGATGTGGCTTCATTGGCACTTTAAATATTCTATCCATCTGCTCATCCATCTCTTGTGACAACTTGACTCTGTGTATTTTTTTGCTTCCATGACAGAAAATAAAGATAGTAACAGCTCCTTAATAAATTGTAATAGATAAGAAAAGGAGGATAATAAAGTACAGCAGTGGTGCAATTCAGCTGGTTCTATCCGGTTTGGGCAAACTGGTAGTGGTGGCGGCTCTGCCCATCCACCTAGACGTCATCTCATCCCATTTTTGAAGCTCTGCGCATGCACGGATGGTCCTGCGCATGCGCAGAAGTGGTGCATGCACTCACATTTGTGAACCAGTAGCAAAAGTAAGTTGATTTCACCCCTGAAGAAAAAAAACTTTTACACATTGATTGTAAATGTAATTTAGCTAACTGAATGTTGTCTTTGTTTGCTTCTTTCTCAAAGATTTCTTTTTTACAAAAATAACATTGATTCTTCCTTTGTCTTCTCTCTTCCAAACACTATTATCATTGGAAAGTGTTCTTGTTTGTGTTAAACTATCCAATGTCTGACACTGCCTTTCCCCACAACATCCCTGAACATTTCCCAAAGCATTCAGTGAAGGTTGAGGGGCCCTTCCAGAGAGAAACTGAGGAAGGTTGTAATAAGCGGAGGTGGCTGTAAAAACAGGGTGATGACTTTTCCTAAGACTTTCCATTAATACCCTGCCACCATGGGAGATAACCCGATTTTTGAATTTTTTAAAATGACAGGTGTTTTTCAGATTCAATTTCTATAATTTTATGGGGGATTAGAATTGAAAAAAAAGTCTCTGCAAAGGTCAAGCTAAAAGTTAAATCATGGATATATTAATTGATTACAGGTTGGGTACCTCTATATTTAATCTCTGAAGACATTCCAGTAAAGTGATAGGAAAATATTAACATTGTTGTGAAGATTTTTTAAGTGTAAGGAAAGTTCAGAAAGAATTAAATAACACATAATCAACATCAACGTGAATGTATATTATTTCTGGGTTAATATGGAATCTTGGTCCTATGAGATCTAACAGTGTGATAAATGTCTGGGCCACCTAAACAAAAACTGTGACCTTATACCAGAGGTCTTCAAACTTGGCCACTTTAAGATTTGTGGACTTCAGCTCCCAGAATTTTCCAGCCACAAGTCTTAAAGGTGCCAAGTTTGGGGACCCCTGCCTTATACATTATAAATATCTGTCCCCAGAAACAAATGGGCTTGGAAAGGAGAATGTTCACTTGATTTTAATTCAGAATAAAAACGATCTTGGCTTATATAAAGGATTATTTTTTCTTTTATTTGAAAACATTATACAGGCATTACATTGCCACAGCCAGTCCATGTTGGAGCATGCAAATATCAAAACAGAAGATAATTTGTTCTTAGTGAATATTGTGGACATTCCTTGTTTTTGGTTCTTACTTCCATTTGTAATTGTCAAAATTAGTGTGCTTTTATTATGGCATTTAACAATTAAAATCCTACCCATGGGGTAAAATTGATATTTATAGCTAGCTTGAGAATACTAATGTCATTTTTAAAAAAGAGAAAATACGACACACAGATTGAAATGTTAATGGCACAAGTTAGCAATATCTAAAACTATATACGGAAGCATCTTCATTTGACACAGTGATGCAAAACATCAATTGCTTGGTCTGTCTTGGTTGCCGATTATATTCTTGAGTTCTCAAGTCAAAGACAAACCAAACTGTAGCTACAGTTTCCATTCAATTACTGAACTATATCAGCACAGTCAGGATAGCTGAATACCTTTTCACCTGCAGGAACTGGTCCATCCATTTTCCAATGAAGTCAGTGGCTACACTGATAGCGTAGCTACTTACTGAACTAAAAGAGCTTTGCTGATGCCCCCCCCTCAATTCTTAGAATGGCAAGACATCAGCTGTTCAGACAATAACTTTCTCAGATGGACCTCATTTTTCATTATGCATCAATCAATTTATCTTGGCATCTCATTTTAGGCAATAAATATGTTTAACAACATTGTTCAATTGCAGAAGAATTAGAAAAGCCTACTGCCCAAGAGCAGATTGTGTGATTTCTAAGAAGAAGGCAGGGAGGTCAAACTCCATTGTCTGCAAATATAGGAGCTTATTGGACTGGCAGATCTCTACCCGAGATTCGCTGCCAACCAGAAAAAAACATTGTTTTGGTTCAATGGAGCAATAATGATTTAATATAAGGCAGCTTCCATTGTTAAACATTCCAGTCTTCCATCTCCCTTGTCTATTCTCCTTGCCCCATGCAAAAGAATATTTTTAAATGTTTTTTTGAAGAGGGGAAGAAGAAGCTCTCAATGGTGGCTATCCAGCCTTTGAAAGATTGCAACTCGCAATGCTCTATTTCAGTAAGAACACTTTTGAGTGTACTGAGTGATGTCTTTCATCCAGGTTGCTTCTACGGAAAGTAATCTACAAATTAGTGTCATAAGAATGAGCTATTTTTAAAAGAGAACCTACAACAACATTTGGCTTACAAAATAAATACTATAAATAAAAGTCCTCAAAAGTTATGAAAGACAAATGCTTAAGCAAGAAAATAAAAGCATAAGTTCTTCAAAAAGTCATTAAAATCAAGGATGGGACCACAGACTCAGAGAAAGGTATTTAATTGGTATAAAAGGTAGCAAAAAGGACTGGGAGATGGCAATGCTCATCAGCTGACTTCTGATTTTTGAAACCTGAGAAAACAGTTAAGGCCCCTGAACACACTCAAACCCTGTTCTTTAGATACATCCAAGTATATTCAGAATTAAAGCCTACATTTATCAAGACAGCCTTGATAGAATGAGTCAAGCCAATATTTAAGCCACAATGAAGTTATTATATCGATGATATTTAAGCAGTGCCTGGAATTCATGTACCCCCTCAGGAATAACATGTGCTCTAAATACAGTATATAAATGATCACCAGGCAGTAACATTCTGATTCTAAATGAAATGGCAATTTTGCACAACTATTTTATAGTTGAGATTTCTAATTTTACCCATCCACCTCTGCACAGCAGTATATGTCACCCAACCTGTGAAAGACTGTTGCAAAAAGTAGTATAGAATATTTGCCATAGAATAATTTACAAAATAGTCTTAATAATTTGATTTTTATGCAAAACGAAACAGGAAAAAAAGACCACTTGGTAGCATTGGTTAAACAAAGGGCTATTGCTTCTACCAAGTTACCTCAGAACAGGGGTGGGTTCCAGCAGTCACTATTGCTGGTTTACTTGTGGACTCTTTGCACATGCATGCTTTGCATGTGCATGCTTGATGCGTGCATGCGCAGTGCAATATAAATTGGTCTGCACATGTGCGGAAGCAAAAAACAAGATGGCATCGCCCCGAGAACTGGTTCAGGGGCGTGGCAGGCCTGGGTCACTGCTTGTTCCAGTGACCCAGGCCGCCAAATCACTACCAGTTCGGCTGAACCAGTCCGAACTGGTAGGAGCCCACCACTGCCTCAGAATGACCCAACCTGGCATCTCCCAGATATTCTGGAACTGTAGGTCCCAGGATTCCCAACTAAAATGGTCAGATCATGGAATTTCTAGTTTTATATTTGGAGAGCGGCTGGTTGAGAAAAGCTGTCAAGACAGTTTCCAGTTGGATTCTTCTTTGCACAGGAAACCAATGGGGGCCCAGTGAACAATAAAATAGGTGAATCAGTGTGAGCAAATGTGCCTAGATGTGCTGAACAGTTCCCATAATCTCTCACCATTGGTTCTGTTATTGGGGAGTTGATGCTAGAATGTGTGTGGTTACTAACTGAAGGCATTTGATTGCAAAGACACTATAACTATCATATAGTCAGACCATTTATAATTGACACTGGATTTTATTATATATTTTAGTTGTTATTTATTATTTTATACTAGAAGTTTTAAATGTATACATACTGAGTGCTTTTATTTGTTTTGGTTGGGGTCTAATACTGTAATAATAAATTATTGTTGTTGTGTGTAGAAAATGCTCCCTATGCATATTGTTTTGCACATAAAGCAGCATGTTTCATGTGGTTTATGCTGGGGCCATACCATGTATTTCAAAATGTCTTGTATTTTGGTCAATGTAGAAAAAAAATGGGACAGTTTTATTCTGGGGATGGACAGTACATGATTCCTCTGGGCAGAATTGATTGGAGAATTTAAGGATAGGAAAAAGTCAAGGCTGAGGGATTTCTCTGGCAGCAGAGTTTGCAAACGTTAGAGGTAGCTGGAGGGGGAAAGAAAAGGAAAACCACTGGGAATATTGGGATGAGAGCAGGATATCAGTTGTGAGCTGAAAAGAGATAGAAAGGAGAAAGAGAGTGCTGTGCTCTGGCCCGTTGGCCACATGGAAGATGATGGAAGAGAGAACACAATGTATACCTCTCCGATTCTCTTTGTCCTGTAAAAAAAATCACTGGGGTTTCTTAGGATTTTGGGGGGGCTGAAAGTCAGAAAAACCATATGTTTCAGATATTTTTTTCTTCTTTCTTCAGTGCTAATTCAAAATGGTAGTTCAGTAGAACTATTTGACACAACAATTTGTTTTGAGTTTGAAAGAAAATATATTTTCAATATATGTGCAAATCCAGAGGTGGTATTCAGCCAGTTTGGACTGGTTTGTCTGAAGCGGTTAGGTGTGCATGTGTGTGTGTGTGTGGGGGGGGAGCAGGCGAATTGGTGGTAACAAAATGTGAAACCCACTGCTGTGCAAATCCCTAGTTCTGTACTACCGAAGATACATATATACTGTATATATTAGAATTCTAAAATGAAACAATGTATGATGGTGCTATAACATACAGCTCTCAGAGGAATTAGGTTCATGATGAAGATAAATTTTTAAAAGAATGGACTTCATGAATGTAATTTTCACATGTAAAAATGCAGCAGCTTACTTTGACTGTACTGTACTGTATACTGCAAACCTTCGATATTCTTAAGAATATAAGAAAGAGGTTCGTTGGCAAATTCAGCTCACTGAGGAAATATTCAATACCTCTGTAGTCTCATCTCTTTGTTCTTTTTCTCCTGAGGTAGGTAAAATAATATTTTTTATAAAACTGGCAATGCTTCAAATATTATTAGGAAAAAAATGCTTCAGACTTCTTGCAAACACAACAGCTCTTTGCCACTTATTAAAACAAATGCATGTTTTCTCAGGCTTCCAAGTTAGTCTAAAAAAAGATCCTGTTGATTTAAATGAATCAAATAATTAAATTAGTGCATCTAAAAAGAAACAAGTGTATCTTTTTCCTAAGATAATTCAGAAACCTAAAACCAGCCAATCAAGTTTGCTGTAATGAAGAGCATTGAGAGGCTGTATTCATACCATAGGAGATCCAAAATACTTAGTAGATTACTGTGATCAACTGTGCAGAAAGAGTAAGCTTTAAAAGGAGTTATTTGATTCTTCCATTCTAACAACACATTTCAAAAAGCTTTCCTATCCCAATTTTCTTTCAAGGGCTAGAGGCTCTAAAGAAATCTGAATTTTGTTTCTGGATCAGCTTCAAGGCTCTTAAATCACAGGAGTATCTTTGTTCTGATGTTAAAGGACAAGAGATGATTCTAGTTTTGCTTATAGCACCATGAACATATAGTATTATGCCTCTTTTTCTTTGTAAGAACTGTAGCCATAATTAAGCCAAGGCCCCAATTATGTAAACTGAATCCTGCCCAAGTGAGGTCAATTCTATGGTAGTTGGGAGGTACGGGCACCTTGAGAACTGTTGCGTCACCAACTTCATTCAGATGAATACATAATGATAAAAGAATGACTTTGGCCAATATTCTCGAAGGAAACAAAACTACTGCCGAGTTCCTACATTAATTTTGCAGACAGAGGAAAAATCTGTTGGGTGCTTTTCCTAACCAGGAAATGAGGCTATATTTTAATTAACCAGCTTGAGCATAATGCATGTGTCGCCGAGCAGTGACAATCACAAGAATTTTGTTAAGGAAAGGAATGTGCAAATCCATACAAGAAGACTAAGGATCTAAGCAGACATCACATTTGGAAGCAGGAATGGGTTATTGATTCAAAGGAAAAACAGTGGACTAAGATACAGAAGAAACACCTCCTCCTTCAAAAAAATATGGAATAAGCATAAAGACTTTGAACATACTGAGTTCTAAACTATTCACATCTAGCCAGTGAATGTGAATGAGAGCAGCACAGGTCAGCTATTCCTGTGTTCCTCTTTGGACAGAATGTCTACAAAAATATTCCATTTCTTTTTTTCTCAGTAGCAACTAAATTTGCAAAGAGAAAGGAACTTGTTGGTATCTGTAAGGTTAAGAGAGTGAAAGTGGAAATGTAATTATGTTATTAGCAAATCTCAGCTGCCTACAGTAATACTGTAAAAATATTTCAAAGGTCAGTGTTTGACTATTATACTATTATGCACATATTTTAAAAAAAGGTTAAAAAGTCTCTTTTCAACCTATTCTTAGAATAGAGATGGATACTGGTAGCTGTCCATCCATGGCTTCCCAGAACTTCTTCTGAGCCATCTTCACCAACCTCAGCCCTTCAAAAGGCATTGGAGTGAAACTCCTAGGCAGCGTAGCTAGAGGTGAGAGAATTCTGCCCATCACATCAGGAGGGCCCAGGCTGAGAGAGGCTTCAGAGAATAGGTAACCAGATAGCTAAGGTAGCTGAATGAACACAATGGCACTAGGGTATAGATTCTGCGTATCTCAACTGGACAAAAATTGGTAGTATCCATGCATATTTGGCCCTACTAGGCATTTCCCTTGTTGCATTAAATGTTAATTACCAAGTTTTCTTGCTTCCCATGTTTCAAGTCCCTTTCCATTAGCAATTGGTGAACAAATCCACATTCATCCTGAAAATATTCAAATTTTCAAGTCTTTCCTCAAACATACACTAAACAGGTCCTATTGAAAGCCTGCCTCTTTCTCTTCCACTATGTCAAAAAGAGGAGATAAGGAGCAGCAGAGCCAGGCTTCTTTTTTAGATAGACAATATTGTCTCTCTCTCTCTTTTTGTTGGCTACCTGGAACTTGAATGCAAATTTGGCATTCATGTTCCAGAAATTATCACTGTCACTGAGGAAGAGTATCCATTGTTGGTGGAAACTGGTATGTAGAGTAAATTTTCCTGACAAGGTTTTGGGAACTTGTAGTCAATTCCCAGATCCCCAGCTGGAATTTACCCCTTGACTGGAGCTTTTGACACTGTTCTGAAGTCTTTTTCCCCAGGTAAAGGTGTGTATATGGGAGGGTTGTTTTTTGCTTTGAAAAGAGTACAGCAAAAGGACAGGTGGGGAGTTCTACAGGTTGAAAAAAACTGAAGATCGCCCACCCACAGTCAACTGTTCCAATTCTCATCAGATATTCGATTCCCACTTCATCCCTTTCCCCGCATCAACATCACCTGCACTAAATTTATTTTAACGCCCACCTAGACAAAACTGCTTGAAGGTATTTCTCAGGACTTCATTTATTTTCTGAATGAAAAATGCATAACACTGTGTAATAGTCTACCAGTGTCATTTGGTCACCCTTTGGTCAGGAAAAATATACCTTAATGAAGAAATTTTACAAGGTTCATCCTATTTGTTACATATGGTGTTCCCAAGCAATCAGTCTTTGGGCAAAACACTTAAAAAAATAATAATCTCAAATTCTTTTTGCAAAGTATCTTTTGACTAGCATGGCATTTCTGCCAAGAATCAGAGCCATTTTAAATCGTATTTATTCTCTTCAGAAGCCTTAATATTGTACTGTTGGTTCAGTATTCTAGATTACCGAATACAGGTTAGCAAAGTGACACTGGGAGATGCCTTCCCACCAGTCCCCCCCTCCTTCCCCCTTAGAATCTACTTCTGTATTTCTCCAGCAAATTGTGAAGGGTCTCAGGGCATATTGTAGAATGGATTGTTCAGTTCAGATATGGCTCTGGCCATGCCTGTTTGCTCCATGTAAACTAAAACGTGCTCTCTACAACTACAGATGGGTTCCATTCCAATAGAGGCTTTGAGGTAGGCAAACTGTCCTTCAGGAAAGTTTCCCTGCCATTTCACAACATCTCCTTAAGAAAACTTTAATTAAGATTTGTAGATTGTAAAGCACTGCTCCACGTGAAGGACTGTGAATTACAGCTCCTAGTCAAGCATTCAAGATTTTAATGGTGGTGGTTTTTTGTTTTTTTTAATAAACTTCCCCTATTTGCTACCTTGCAGCTGACTAGAGTCACTGCATCCAGAAAATACCTTTCTCTATGAATGATACAGAGATAATGGTGATACAAACTCCACCAAGGGTGGCAGGGCCTGAGTTTAGGCAACACGGACATGAGATTCTTCTTCCGTTTCTTGGCCGAGGCTGGTGTATGTTACTGAAGGTTCTAGCTGTCCAGTGGCTGGCAAGTCTACAACAGGTCCTGAAGGATTTCGGAACTGCTTGTACACCCGTGGATCTTGGGCTATGTATGTGGATGTAGAGGAGTACAGCAAAAGGCCAACAAGGATTGTGAAGAATGACAGCAGATAAAGTCCTGAAAACTAAATGGAAAGAATAAAATTAGTCCAAAAAAAAAAAAAAGAATGCAGTAAATGCCTTGTACAGAAGAGTTGCATGGAATATTTTTCCCTGTATAAGGTTGTTGTGTATCAAATCAAATTAAAATTCAGTGCCAAAAATAAATTACCTAAATCAGCAGTAAATTAATTTGGCTTTTATTGCTTTCAGGCAATGATTACTACAATTTTCTAAGAAAGAAATGTTATGCCTTCAGATAAAATCTTTAGAACTTCAATTGCAGAAGCAAAAATCCAGTGACTAAAACACAAAGGAATCAAAGGTAACTAAGACACAAAAGAATCATAACAATTTTCTGAAAAGACTAGATAAGTCATGCCCAGTTGGGTCATTGTTTCAGAAATTTTCTTACCTAAATAGAAAAGCAGAATGACCATGGGTGGGCAATTTTCCAACTTTCTGCTGGCTTCCCCATTGACTTTGCTTATGGGAAGTTGGAAGGACTGTCAGAAATCTTCCATCCACCCATCCATCCATCCATCCACCCACCCATCCATCCACCCACCCACCCATCCGTTTTAATGAGGCAGTTTAAAAACTCTACAACACAAGTCTCTGTATGCATATATGTTGTGGGTGTACATATTAGTTACCTCCAAGAACAACTAATTAAATATAATAAATGTCAAGATGAAAACAAAATCAACAGCCTCAGGCTAAAAAGTATTATTGAGATGTCAGCTGAAATATACTCTCAGAAGAAACTAAGCTGTTCTAAATTAAACAGAAAAGATCCTTAGCGTCTCTGAATAATTAAGACATGACTAAGTGAATGATTCTAAATGTGCAGTTTTTTTCTTGGGAACTTATAAATTGCCTGCAAAGGTTCATGTAAGTCAACTTGCCCATTGGAAATGGACAGTAGCTTACCACAAACTTAGATTTCACTGTGAAAATCAATGTATTATGTACTAATTCAGAAGCATAGTTGAAGAAAAATGGAAAACCTGTTCAGAAAAAAGACATTTTGAGAAAAAAAATGCAGACTTGGTTTTGGAGAAACAATTTCTAGCAAATTACAATGTTCAGACTATTTCATATAATCATTGCATATTAATTCAAATATTGCTACCTGGCATTTACTTTTCATTGTTTGATATGGCCTCAGGACTTGTCTTTGTGTAAACCACGTCTGAGTATATGTATGTATGAATATGCACACATACATCTGATAGGTTGACATATTGTTAAATTATCTTAAAATGTACACATTCACAGATGCAACACAACACACTGGCTGTAAGCTCTCGTGACATCTCCACCTGCTGCAATTTTCCACAGTTAAGACTGGCTCACTTCAGAATAGAAGAAACCCCACTGAGGAAAGTTCAAAGCTTGGCAGAGAGAGGCTGTCTAGTGGGCAGGCCAATTAATTGTTTTTCTCTTGCAATATCTCATTTTCCCTTCTTGTGACATCTCACCAGGTAATTTAGCACAGCCACTCTATTGCTTTGGCAGCTAAAAATATAATGTCAAACATCAACAGTGCTGAAGGACAGCTTTCACCTGGCACCGAGTTCATGCAGATAAAATCTGTTTTGTGCAGCTTTCTTCCGCTATGCATCATGTCAAGTGATTTGAATAATTCTGGGCATTCTGATCATAATTGAAATTCTGCAAAATAGAAAGCAAGCCCGGTATTGTGATCTCTAACAATAGTGATCCCAATCTTGCATTTAAGAAGAACCTCCAAGTCACCAGAACTCCAGGTAGTCTTCTCACCTCATTGTGAATTTCCACTGGATAGACTTTGCAAATCATGGGAAGGGCAAGGAAACCTCAGCACTGCCAGTACCTGAAGGGCTTTAAAAGTGATGACTAGCACCTTGAAGCATATCCGGAGACCAATAGGCAGCCAGTGCAGCTCGCGGAGGATAGGTGTTACGTGGGTGAACCGAGGTGCACCCACGATCGCTCGCGCGGCTGCATTCTGGACAAGCTGGAGTCTCCGAATGCTCTTCAAGGGCTGCCCCATGTAGAGCACGTTGCAGTAGTCCAGTCTAGAGGTCACAAGGGCGCGAGTGACTGTTGTGAGGGCCTCCCGGTTCAGGTAGGGACGCAACTGGTGCACCAGGCGAACCTGGGCAAATGCCCCCCTGGTCACAGCCGACAAGTGGTGTTCAAAAGTCAGCTGTGGGTCCAGGAGGACTCCCAAATTGCGAACCCTGTCTGAGGGGCGTACTGTTTGACCCCCCAGCCTGAGAGATGGAACACTTGACCAATTAGTAGGAGGGAAACACACCAGCCACTCGGTCTTATCTGGATTGAGTACAAGCTTGTTAACCCCCATTCAGTCCCTAACAGCCTCGAGGCACTGGCACATCACGTCAACCGCTTCACTGAGTTGGCACGGGGCGGACAGATACAGCTGCGTATCGTCCGCATACTGATGGTATTTTATCCCGTGCCGTCGAATGACTGACCATGATCTCTCAGCAGCTACCACATTTCTGTTGTGTTGAGCTTGGCTTCCTGCCTTCAGATGTAGAGAGGCCAAATACTCATTTGTAGCATTAACCATCCACCGGCATTCACTTATACCCTGGAGATTTTCATGATGAACTCTGTTATTGGGTCAATGAACAATTGATGGTTGCTGCTTATTGCTCTGGTTTTGTCCAGTAACAATCTAGTAATGGTAATGAGTTATAAGATAGATCTGGGACAAACAAGGCTCCATGATTATTAATCCCGATAATGGTATAAATGATAAAGCACATACTATTACTTCTGCTACCACTGCTGGAAATGTTGCTGCGAGTCTAAATGGGGGAGCAGGTAGTTACTTGACAAAAACTGGAAGGAAGCATAAAAGCTCTTTTTAGTGGCTTTCTCCTTGCAAGCCTGCAAGCATACCATTGTTCTTCTATGTTCTCCTGATTGTGATTTCCTGAACGCTGACATTCACCAATGTAAAAGAGATCTTTAGTTCCTTAGACCAGTGGCTCTCAACTTTTTCTTCAGCTCTCTCTTACAAGCGTCTTCTCTAGGCTGATACCCTCCCTGGGTTTGAGGACTATTAAAATTCTGAAGCCAGAATCTTTAGTACATTGGGAAAAAGGTATGCTATAAATATGTATTTCCTGTCAACTCAAAGCTGTGTTTGTACAGAAGAAGCTCCTGTGGCTTCCCAACATAATATGTATCACATGGATTCTCAAGGCAATTATTTTGGGATAGTCATCTGCTAGAAGTAAGCCAGTGCCGAGTCATAAAGAACTTTATAGGTTAAAACCTGCACTTCAATTTCACCAAATAACATTTTTCAGCCAGGCCAAAAAGTTCTACTTTGGATTCATCTGTCCACAAAACATTATTCCAATAGTATTCTGGCTTATCTACATGGTCTTTCACAAACTGTAGATAGCAGCAATGCTCTTTTTAGTGGCTTTCTTCTATGTTCTTCTATACATACCATTACTCTTCTATGTTCTCCTGATTGTGATTTCATGAACACTGACATTCACCAATGCAAAAGAGACCTTTAGTTCCTTAGACCAGTGGTTCTCAACCTTTTCTTCTCCATGGACTCCCTTTAAATACCTTTGGTGGTCATGGATCATAGTCACCGGCCCCCAGGACTTAACTTAAAATTTTAATTATAACATTTCTTCAAGCCTTCACAGACCCCCTGTGATGACATTGCGGCCCCTTCCAGGAGTTTGCAGAGCACAGGCTGAGAATCACTGCCTTGGATGTTACCTTGGGGTCCTTTGAGACTTCCCAAAATATTACATGTCTTGGTATATTTTTGGTTAGTCAAGAGGCTAACAATGATGCTGAATTGCTTCATTTGTACACAAACTGCCCAGCAGTGGACTGATAGAGTCCAACTCCTTGGAAATACTTTTGTAACCTTTTTCAGTCTGGTAATGATCAACAATTGGTTTTTTTTTTAAATTCTTAGAAATCTCTCAGTTCATGACACACTTCCAGATACCTGTATTGTGAAGACTAGGCTTTGATAGTGAATACCCAGAATTCTGTTTTATAAATAAGGCAGGACCTCCCACACTCATACCTGATTATTATCCCATTGATTGAAACCCTTCACTCTAATTTCCCCTTCAAATGAACTGATAATCTGAGAGGTTCACATACTTTTGCCACATACAAATATGTAGCTTTGGATTATTCTCCTTAAAAACAATAAGTGAATAAGAATTAAGAATAATGTGTTTGACACATTTTTAAAATTGGGTTGTCATTTTCTAGTTGAACTAGTAGGACTTGTGTGGAGATAACTTTTTAGGTTATATTTACGCAGAAAGATTGAAAATTGAAAAGGGCTCTCAAAGCTTTACACAACACTGGCGTTTACTGCAAGTTTCTATCTGTAATTCTGACATTTTGTTCCTCAGAGAATCCAAATCCCTCTTGCTGCCAGGCTTCTGGAAACTCAACACAGAAAGCACATCACTGTTTTCCTTTGAGGCTTGGGTGAAAACGATGCCTTTATACAATGGTTTTGATGTAAGATCTGTAGTTCACCTTAGAAACCACCGAATTTAAACATAACAGATGGCTCTCCTAATGTTTATAAATTTTACTTTCAAAACACCTCAGTTGGCAAGGGCTTGTGAGTTCATTTGACAGGTTTATTCAGGGATGATACTTCAATGCACATTCCAAGCCAGGTGGATGCAGGTCTGAAATATGACATGTTGGGACTTGACTAAAAAGGAAGCTACTCCCCTTGTAGAATGTCTGGAATATTTTGTATTGTTTTTAAATATTTGTAAGCTGCCCAGAGTCACTATTGTGAAGGGCATTCATCTAAATAATTTTTTTTTCAAAAAATACATTGGGCTAATTCCCTGGATTTATATTTTGACCATGTTTTAGATTTACCGTAAGAAAACTGCTGTTTCCAAAACTGCATACTTTTGCATGATGAGATTTTTCTTTAAGCACCCACAGATAAACCCTTTAAGTTCCTGGGTGTGTATGTGTATGGGTTCAA